TTATACAGAAATGTTCTCTAAAATGTTTGACATTAAATAAGTCCAAATTTTACACAGGCACAATGGAGATTAACCTCAATGACTTTCTAAGTGCTAATTCCTAAACTTAAATGCAGAATAGCTCAAAGAGCTAAACCACAGAGAAGTTGTAGGTTCTAACCAAAGGCAAGACATCCTAAAACAGAAAAGTAAAAGCAAGCAGTCCCACTGTCTGGCTTCTGCAGGAGGGCAAGGAAGATGATTGGAGACCTGTAGCCTCTGATGGAGGCTTATACATTCTGAAGCAAGACAACTTCTTGCCAAAAGGAACATTTATACTTGAGCTAGCCTTTGTGATGGAATGAAATAAATACGTGGCAGAAGGCACAGCACCTTATCAGTTCTAGGCCTGACACGCCTCTGAGCCATGGTTTCCTACCTGTATGAAGTAGAAATGGTAGCACCTCACCTGTAAGTGTGCTAAATTATTGCATGGGGGAAACAAATGAGACCATGAGTATGAAAACATTCATAGACTATAAAGATCTGCCATGCTGAGTAAATTGTTATGGATTATTGGGTTGCTGAATTGAAGTGATATTAAGTTTTTCCAAAACATGTTCATTAGAAAAGATAGTTTTCAAACAGCATATTAATATTGCTTGCAGAGGAGGGGGTGGGGTATGTGGCATACGCCTCTGTGGAGAGCTCAGCAAGACACTGAGGGCATATCAAGGCTGGTATTTGTGTCTACAGAGTCCCCCTGATCAGGAGAAAAAACGTACTGCACTAACCCTCTCCCTGTAAGTAAGTAAAATAAACTCCATGTTCAAGTTAAATAAGAAGAAAAAAAGAAAATGGAAAAATGAGAGTAAGGGAAGAAGAGAAAAAATTTAAACCTTTATCAAAGTCTCTTGACAGATGCCAAGAGTGAACAGCATCGCCTACAGTTCAGTCATGTATCTCATACTTGATAGGCTCCTCTCCAGCTCAGTGTATCCTTCTCTCCTCCTCTCCTCATCCCTTCCATTTCCTCTCTCTTGACCTTACCTCTTCTCCTCTCCCTTACCCACATGCCCCCATAAATTCTCTAAATCTGGCTTCCTGATCCCTCTCCATTCCTAATTGTTTCTGGTTTTTCAAACAAATGTATACTGTTCTACATTGCTGCATGTCCTTTCTAATCAGTGTTAGTTTGGTCTTTCTTAGTGTCTTCTCATTCTTTGCTTTCCAGCCTGAGCATCAAAACAAGGTCCAAGCAGACGGAACAAGATCCGCCTCTTAACATGAAGACAGAAGAAAGACTGTGTTATATAAGAGGATGATATACACAAATACGTTTACTGTGTGCCAGGCATTGTTTCAAGAGCTTTGCATTTCTTAACTCCTTTAATTGCCTCAACCACCTATGAGCTAGTTACTTTATTATCTTCATTTTACAGAAGAGGGCAATGAAACCCAGAGAGAATAGCAAATTTGCCCAAAGTCACAAAGCTTTAAGTCTGACTAAGGAGCCTGCACTCAGCCACTGGAGGGGATGGATATCTAATTAGAGAAATGAATCAATGTACAAAGTATTGAAGTGGGCTTTGTATGGCTGGGAGAGGTAAGAACTGAAATTTCATGGGCAGACAGGGTAATGGCTATCAGATGGGTCATAGCCAATCTCAAGACTACCTATCACATCTCATGACAATATTGTCAAGTTAATCCCTCTCCAGGCAATGTTTTCTCAAGGCTGGATTTGTGGGGTGAGTCATTTTTAAGAAATTAAATTTGTATTGGCTACTAATTTCATTAAATTCAAGGGATGCAAAAGTCAAATGAAGCAGAATGAAAACCAAACTAAATTCAGCAAAGGCCCATATATTAAACTTAGTTCAGATTTCCCAAATTATCACAGTTCTGTGAAGGGCTTACTAGTCAAGGGGAAACAGAGCATGGTATATTTCTGACATATGCATGTGGGAATGGTGTGGCTTGTTTTTAGGAACTTCATGAAGCTCTATTTGGGTTCTTCCAATTGCCCCCAGCAACCCTGTGTAGGTTTGAAAAGATGCAGAAACTGTATGATTTTGTTCCACAAGTTCAAGCAATCTTTATTTATAATTGTGATTCTTTCTTTTTTTAAATATTCAGATCTTTTTTCCTCTTTGGTTCCATGAAGGTTTATACTATGTCTAATATTGAGTTTGACTAAAATAAATTGTTTTCATGTATTTAGGCTTTAGGAAAAATTCTTCTGGTACATTTCAGGGTCCAGTAATTGACTATTATTAGGATTAATAAGAATTACACAGCCAAATCCCACTGCCATGCACTGAAAATTCACCCCTCAAGATCAAGACTCAGTAACAATTTGAAAGTGTTAAAATGTAATTTCCAGTTCACAGACCTCTCGAAGGGTAAAACAGAAATGGGAGTTTATGTTTGAGATAATAGACAGGATACTTCCCAATGCATGCTGCTTGGAATTAGAAATGTAAGTAATAACATGTTTTTCAAAATGCAGGAATCCATTTGCTATCATTCAGAGGATTGGATTGATACATAGCACAAGAAATCATTCCTATGTGGGACTCTTTTATTTATTTATTTATGAGAGAGGGGAAGGGAGAGAGAAAGAGAGAGAGAGAGAAACATTGATTGGTGGCATATTGTACGCACCCCAACAGGGACCAAACCCACAACCTAGGCATGTGCCCTGACCAGGAATTGAAACGGCATCCTTTTACTCTAAGGAATGACAGCCAACCCACAGAGCCACACTGGTCATGCCTTATCAGGGATTCTTAATAGTAGATCTTTTCTATGCATTTCTTCAAATGAAGGCTACCTCTGGCTGTATTTCTTTCTGTTAGAGCCATTTCCTTTGCCTTCAAATTTCTGTAATACTTATTATTTGGATACTTGGAAGAATTTATGCATTGCCTTGTCTGTACATTGTGAAAAGTACGAGCCCACACAAGTTTTATCAGTAAACTTGCCTTCTTTCCTCTCCACCTCATACTTACTTACCTTAAATATGCTGATAAACAACTACTGATATGTAAGTTAAAACATGGGTAAATTCTAAGAAAAGGTAATCTAGGATTTCCCTATTCTGCCTATGTAGACAAGAAATGGATAATGCCTTCTGTGCATATTTTCTATGTTAGCCTTCCTGCAGTGATGCCACAGAGGGCCAGCCCCTGCTATATCACATCTCTATGCTTGCATCTTCCACTTTTTAAAAATTTGATTTAACTATCATTTCACACCAGAAGATATATCATGATTTGTAGAATGCTCTGTCCCTTTGAATAAAAAAAGATAAAATAATTTTACATAAGCAATTTTAAAATATCAGGACAAAAATGGATCTTTTTGAAACTGTTTCTGAAACAAAACTTGATTTTTGTCAATAGTGCATAAAGAAACAATGAAATAGCCAAGAAAACATTTTGATATTATATGGTCTTTTTGACAGAAGGTCAGTCTCAGTCTTCTAAAATTTGGCATCCTAAAATAACATCAATATGTTTAGTTAGAATATTTCCTGAAAGTTTGCTTTCAGCAAAACAAACATAGAATGAATTGTAACAAAATATATTAAAAACTACATCATGTGCTGTTTTACTGATGTTTAATGGGGAGTTTTGTTTATTATTTTATAAATAATTTTTAAATTGCTGTGTAAGAAGTTTCAGCAACATTTCCATTGTTGAAACATAAATCCATCCAAATCCCAATCCCCAAATATTTGAACAAATCTACTGTGAAGACATGTATTTCTTCTATTCAAAGCTGCAAGTAACTTTACTAATGCATTTTGGTAACCAGAAGCTAGGTCAAAATATCTTAAAAATGACATATTTCACATATTTCCTGAAAAATTCAGAAGATGATGGTGCTTATCATCAAAGGAGTTGCAGAAAAGAATACAATGTGTACAAAGCCAACTTTGGATAGAGTATAGTTTCCTCTTTAATGCACTTGTGTCCCAACCAAAGATTGAACCCACGACCTTGGCTTATCAGAATGATGTTCTAACCACCTGGCCAAGGGCCAAAAACATTAGTTTTTTTAGCTGGGTTTTTTCCCCTGAACCGTGAGTAAATTTGTGAAGTTCTTTTTTTCTTCAAAGAATGTGGAAAAACAATCACTTTCATTCTGAAAAAAAAAAGTTCATTTTTAATTGTGGCAATTTGTTTTTACAGGGTCATATTACCTAAAAAGATGGGGATGATGCTCTACTTCTTGTGACTCTTATTTCAAAAATCTCCAGAGAACGTATCCCTGAAAGTTCACATTGCATGGGTTTTACTTTGTCAACATCTCTGCAAACAACACGGTCTGTAACAGGCCCAGGGATGAAATGGAAGCACTCCTACCAATGATACTTCTGAAAATGGAATGTGCTTCCCAGGTTTCTTGAAACAGATATCAACAGTGGGGAAAATTGATTGCTCCATTTGCTTGTAATGAGTTGGAGGAAGTGACCTCTGACCAAGGAGCAGGGGACACTAAGGCACAGCTAAAAACAATCTTCTTTTGTGAGATGAATGGAAAGAAAATGCCATTGCAAAATTCTAAACAGTTACATGTTTTTCAAAAAGCAATAGGCTAATTTAGCTTGGTCAGACTCCTTTTCTTTCTTCTTGATATCTCCTTGTAGTCTCTGTATTTTCTTACCATTTTACGGCACTCTTAAACATTTCTATGTGTGCACTGTTTGTGCTGAGCACAGACTAAACACTGACGTCAGAGTGGCCTTTTCTTGGCCTGTTTGTGTCTCCGCTGGCTACACCTTGGGCTTTGGTGCCTCAATACCTTTACAAAGGAAGTGCCTGAGATGAGAATGCTCTCCTTCCCTGTCATAACCCCGGCTTTCTCCAGGGCCCAAATCAAAGACACCTTCAGTCAGGGTTCACCTGTTATCTCCTAACACATTATATACTTGGCATGTGCTTGCTACGTAATGGATATATTTCTGAATGAATGAATATCACTGTTTTTTTTACCACTCACATACCACTTACCTCCATTGCTGTGGTTAAATGTCAGATCTTCCCAACTAGACTGTAATTTCCTAGAAGAGAGAACATATCTTTTACTTTGGTGCTTTCTCAGTGAATATGGCAGAGACCTTTTTCTATAATAAGAAGTCAGTGATTATTTTTTGAGTGAAAAGTAGGCAAGAGATATTAGTAGAAAATATGAAGGCTCTTAACATAAAAGTCCCAACATTTTAAAGTATATTCACACTGTTAAATAGCACCATAAGACAAAAGAAATTTCAACTGAGGAGGGATCTTAAAAATTTCACTAAAGTAGACATTGGAAAAGTAATCATTAACTTAAACTAGAATTCAATAAGCAGCACTCTAAAGAAGAAAATCTTTAAAGGATGCAAATGACACACATTCATGTGGAAAAGACAAACTAATGTTTAAAAATTAAAAAATATATGAATTTTGATTCAGAATACAAGCTGACGCCTTTCTTTGAAGTGTTGAAATAGATGAAAAGTTATCATGTATATTAAGAATAATTCATTTAATTCCAAAGAGCCTTTCACATAGGAAGCTTAAAACATGTTAAAAGTCTTATATGGTAGTTAGATCATCTGCTGTGGTCCTATTGGTTCTTGGGGCAGTGAAGTCTTAGGGTAGGGAAAGCCCAGTCACACAGTGTCAGTAATCTGATCGAGAAAACACTACATGCTGCCCAGATCCTTGACTTATTACATGGCCATGTGATTACATTTCCCACATTCCTCTCATAAAGAAAAAATAATGAGCCCTGGCAGGTGTGGCTCAGCTGCTTGGAGTATCATCCTGTGACTGAAGGGTTACAGGTTTAATCCCCAGTTCCAGCACCTATGATCCAGTTAATGCTTCTCTCTTGCATCAACATTTCTCTCTCTCTCATCCTCTCCCTCTAGAAGCAGTGAAGAAAACTATCCTCGGGTAAGGATGGGAAGGAAGAAAGAAAGGAAAGAAGGAAGGAGAAAAGGAAGAAAAGAATGAGAAACATAATTTTTAAAGAGCTACTAATAACCATCAAATTTAACATATTCAAGACCACCTTTCCTATCCATTCCCATTATCACTGCACTAACCCAAATAGTTTTACATCTATTAGTAGATTATTGCCATAGACTTCAGCAGGACTTTCAAATCCCTGCCTCTGCCCTTACCAAATATACCTCTTACTCCTGTGACACAAGTCTCCTCAACCCATGCAGCTCAAAGATAGCACTGCTCCAATTTCAACTCCCTGATTACCAAAGTCTTATAAAATTTCATCTCGCACTCACTTTGTTTTCCTACTATTAAATAGAGCAATACATAAAACACTTTTCTAGTTGAACCAAGTGAATTCATCTTGACTTTTTAGATCTATCTTAAATGTCAAAAGGCCCCCCACAATGCCTGGCACAAAATAGACATCCAACATATACATATGTGGATTAAATAATTGAGAAGACTCTTTTTTAAAAGCTTGTCAGGACCTGCTAAATTGATGCATGTCCTATAAGCTGCCTGTAATGTTACTATCTAATCATCTAAGTGTGGATATTAACAGGGCCAACAGTTCAAGGGGAAAAGAAATCAACAGAGGCCCTTTTCTCCTTTCCCATCGAAACTGCTGTGTGCTAAAGCATTCCCCTAACAAGGTTTGCCTGGCTTTATCATCTTTCTCAGAATTATAAAGACACTTCCATATTTAGAGGGAGTGAATTTATTTGAATACCAAAAGCCTAAAACCCAAGTTTATTTTCCTTCATATAAGCACTTCAGTAAAACAAACCCAACAGTTATCAATTTAAGAGCAACATCTAGATCTTTCATACCTGCCTAATAGATGCGGAGTATTCTACTCATTGATTCTAAGACAGCATGTAAGAAAAAACACAAAGCTAGGAAACCCTATGTCCCACAGAGTGAGGGACACAGGCTCATTTTTTCCACAATAGAGAGAGATTGAGAATATTCTCACCACAGTTCTTGTCACAACTATTGGGAAGATGTAAACTCTCAGAGGAAAGCTTGCATCCATCTTGAGTCTTTGTCTGCAGGGCTGGTATTCACAAATGTCCACTTCCCTGGTTTAATTTCCATTTTAGGTGGACAAATAAGCATATGTTTTGCAATAGATACCTTCTTGTCTACTCTTCAGATGATTAACTTCTTTGCTATTTGGTGGTGATCAAACCCAAGAAATGTGATAGTTGGGTCACTCATGAGTCACTTCCCTGTGATTCTCCATCCTGCCCTACCTGCATCCAACAAGGAGACAGCATTTTTGGCCTGTTGCATCAGACCACTTCTTAGGTAAGAAGCAAGAGAAAAGGCATAATTTCAAATAAGTTCGTCATTAGTGACACAGATTCCTGGTCAGCTATTGTATGTAATGACCGAGATTCCCAATGTTACAAGTAGACAACTGACATTTTGCCTGAGCATGCATCTCTAGCCAGTGATAATTAACCTGAAGGTAAAGAACCAGTCATTTTCTTAATACAACAAGGCTCCACGTTCAAAGTTGGGGCTCTTCCTGTTTTAATAATCAAAAGGGAAAGACCTTTGGTACTTAATATTTAAACAAAATGTTTAATATTTACACAGTAAAGTTCTTCTTCTGATATTAAACCAGCATTAAAGCAGGGATGGAAATTGGTTTATAATCTCTGACACCAGGCCTGGAGCCTTGTAGTGTAGTAAACAATGTCACTCTTCAGATGGGCACCACCTGCAATGGGTTCAGAAATGTCAACTGTAATTAAACATTTTATTTCAAGGATAATTCATAGGTTATGTACATGAAGAACTGCTTTACGCCATGAGAAATTTCAAAGTACCGACTTGTGTAAATAAGAAACAGGTCTTTTTTTTATTGTGTGTTTTTTAAAAGTACATGCAAACTACATGAGACCTAATTAATATTATTCCTAAACATGTGCTTTATATTTTGCTAATATTTTTAAGGTCAATTTCATGAAACTTGACTGGTAATGATATGTCTCTGCCTTACCAATTATTTCTTCTAGCTACGAGGAAGAATCCCACGGGGCGCAGGGAGGATATGGTTCTCCATCAGCTCACATGGTAAACTAATGGCAAAGTTGGAACTGGCCCTCATCAATGCTAAATTCCTTCTTTGTGGCTTCAGTTCTAAACTGTGGTTTCAATGAAAATCTGATGAAAATTTATTATTTTAAAAAGGACAACAAGTTTTTCAAAGGTGTGGGGATCACCTAGTCCCTCTAATAATGCTCCTAATCCTAATGAGAATTGAGTAAAATTATTCAGTTAAGAAGTGTGTGTGTGTGTGTGTGTGTGTGTGTGCACTTGTGCATGCACGTGAGAAAGAGGGAGGAAGCAATGCTCCATTTTTTTTGTTCAATAGAAATTCATTCACTATTTCTTGGTAGCAATTTGTTAAAAGCTAACATAATGACTCAAAGATTTAATGTAGACCTTTCCTGGTCCTCCACCCTAACATTGTGTATCTTTTTATCCCCCAAAATAAGGCTTGAAGGGAAAGGTTTTAAGTAAAAATGCTATTAAAATAACAAAAAAATGGGTGAAAGTGATGCCTTTTTGTACATTTAACACTCTATTACAAAGAATACTTTTTTTCTAATTATTTAAGGTGACAGGAAAAAATATCCTTCTTTAATTTGTCTCTCACTCGCTCTCTTTTCCATTCTTTCTGCATTACTTTACAGATATCGATGGTGTATATCATATACCAAGAAGGCCTTAGGTACATGAATAAGCTGAAACACCTCTACCAGGTGGCTACCCTGCAAAGAGGCCTGGCACTGAGCAAATGGAGCCACACCCATTATGGCAGTTTCTGAGATAAAATATTAGTTCTTCATCATTGGAGAAAATTTGCTGTATTAACAAGAAGCATTAGCAAAAAGCAACAGACATCAATTATTCTAAATCATTACTCCAAAATGAGTGCAATATGGATATTTTTAAAAGAGTTTTGACCATCCTTTCTTTAATTAACAACCTTTTATTTTGGAAATATGGTCACTGTAAAAGCTATGCAAAAACATGGGAAAAAATAAATGGCACATTAACAGAAAATGCTGCACGTAATATATATACTGCTGAAAATTGCAGTAGAATTAAAAAGCTGATACATGAGAGAAAAATTTGAAGGAAATATGATAGTAATATGTTAGGACAGTGAGGTTATGGTAATATTTTTTCATTTTCCAGATTTTTGTAATGAGATAATATGACTTTAATGATTAAACAGCAATGTCCAATAAGAAGGTGATCACCTTGGGGAATGAGAAGCTCATGGTGATGTACTTGTTCATTGACCCACAGTAGCAAGAAGTGGAGGAGAAATTTGGTGAAGGTGTGTACCAAACACAATTTAAATTTATTTTCCTCCACATATCCCGCTTAACACAAAGATTGTCCAAAAAGATTGTTGGCAAAATAGAATGAAAAGAGAAGGTAAAAGAAGACAGAATGGTTAGTTGGTCTGAACCTGGAGTTTCTATTAAAGTGATTTCAGATAATAAGTATTAAAGATTCCCTTCATCTTCCTGTTAAAATAATGCTGCCCTGGCTGTGAGATGGAAGAAAGACAAAAGCTCTCTCAGTCCAGCCATACCAATCCTAATTAGGAGAACAGTAAAGTCTGTGGTTTTGTTAAAAAGCTTATAGCTATCACAAAATAAGATTACAGCGTAGACAACATTGTTCAGCTACAGAAACCCTCACTAAATCAGACCAGATGTAGAATTAAATTGACAAGGCATTTTCAAACTCAGAAAAGAGGAAGAGCATGTCTAAGGCTGCAAAGCTAGTGAATGATAGAACTGGTAACATGGCAGAAATGATCAACTTGGTAGTCCCACACATTTCTTTATTCAGGTCATATATACATACATCTGTTGTCTCAAACAATCTATTAACATTTGGAAAATAGCTGATCTTGCTTAAAGAGCAAGATCTCTCATTTTCCCTTGAACCTGCTATAGATCTGCTATATGGACAGTGATAAACTCCATGGACCAGCCTTACAGCATTTCAGGGTGGGGAGGTTCAAAGT